TATAAAGAAATTAAAGAGAAAAAGTAGTTTATCGCGAAATAATATGTATTCCAGTATGAAAGCATGCATGTACTGAATGAAACAATGGGAGACCTAAGCAGATAGAACGTTGGTCAACCCAGAACTAACAAGGCTTTTGGTATCCAATAGTTATCAGTGGCTGTTTTACAGAAACAGACTCGCCAGTCAAGACCCCAGCAAGTTAAGGGTTTCTGGCTTCTAAAGCCACATGTGGTAAGTGGGGTGGATGCAGTCCATCTTTCATAATTGACCCCTAAATTCTTACCCTATCCATCTGAAAACCTTAGTCTCTGTGATAACCCCCCTGCCACCCATTCCACAAAAGACATCACTGAAGCTTCTTTTCACCTATCTTAAAGGTTTTACCTTTATATTACCTCTCCCTTTAGCATGAAGCAGATTCTTATCTGAAGGGAACTTTATCTACTTAGGTTTTGGATATGGGGCCTGTGAATTAAACTGACAAAAGGCAGATAAGCAAGAGAAAACCCAGATGTTTATGCACCTCCTAAAGAATTCACAGAAAAACGTGCCTTGATGAGGTGGTTAGAACTGAGGGTTTGTATGCTGTCTTAATAGGGGAGGGAGAGAAAGGGCAATGAAGGGAAAACAAGTGGCTGAGAAAAAATAAATGGGAGATACGATAGTTTTATGACAATATCTGTTGGTGATTTCCTATCCCAGTGAAGCCAATTTTCTACCCTCCTTGGTTGTGAAACTCCCGGGAAGACTTATGACAGTCGAATATTTTTGGGAGGCTCTACTTTTAGTCAGATAAGGGGAGTTCAGGAGAAAAACCTCTTCATTAGAGGTATATTCTGGACCCCTTTATCCTTATTGCAACTCAAAATTCAGAGGCTCTTTGCTGTCTCTGGTCCCCTCCCCTGGCCAGTTCAACCCTGCAAACAGATGCACCTTCACAGAACACCACTTTGGGTCACATAGTTCTGCTCAATGCACTTTAATAGTTCTATCTGACTAAATCCAGTGTGGCTTGGTCTTTTCTATCATCCTGCTTTTGCTTAAATGATTCCTCTACTCAAAACTCCCTTCCTGTGGCCCTTATTCAGCAATAGAAAGAAAGCACTACCGTGAGCCAGGCACTCTTCCAAATGCTTTTTACATTCCACCTAGCTTCACAGCCACCTGTGAAGGAGAAACTGTTATCTTCCTATTGGAGAAAAGGAAACAGGAGAGGGTAAGACTAAATAACTTGTCTAAGCTCAGAGTATGAACCCAGCCCTGGCCAGTTTAACTCAGTGGATAGAGCATCACCCTGAGGACTGAGGGATCCCGTTCCAGTCAAGGGCATGTACCTTGGTTGCACACACATCCTCAGTAGGGGGTGTGCAGGAGGCAGCTGATTAATGTTTCTAACTCTCTATCCCTCTCCCTTCCTCTCTGTAAAAAAATCAATAAAATATATTTAAAAAATAAAGTACAGAACCAGAATTTGAACTCAGGCAGGATGGCTCCTGTCTTTTCCATATACCACCTTGTCAGGACCTACAGAACTAGCAAGAGGGAAACAAAGGCACGGTTCTCTAGACTTCCCATCATCCAATTGGCTCCTGGCTGAGCCTGCTACCTTCTCAGTAGTCTTGTACAGAAAGTTATTTCCTTGCTCAGACAGCCCCTTGCTTATGGTAGGTCCTCTGTAAACAGTTTAATTTATTCATGGTAGAACCATTATATTTGTCTTTATCGTATTTCCCCCTATTTTTTATTACTGTAAAGTAGATATAAAATTTACCATTTTTAAGCATATGATTCAGTGGCAATAAGTACATTCACAATGTTATGCAACCATTTTATACTCCCATGTCAAACTTTTCATTAAGGTAAAATATGCATAACATAAAATCAACCATTCTAATGTAAACAAATCAGTGATATTAAGTATTCACATTGTAGCATGCATCGGGATTTTTTTTTTTTTAAAGAATAGTTTATTGATTTCTCAGGGAGGAAGAGGAAGTGAGAAACATGGATGTGAGTGCAACATGGATCCATTGCCTCCTGCATGCCCCCCACCAAAGATCAAATTCACAGTTGGTGTATGTGCCCTTGACCAGGAATCAAACCAGCAACCACCTGGTGCTGGGGATAATGCCCAGCCCACTGAACCACACCAGCCAGGGCAAAATTTTTCTCCTTTTTATTTAATATTTTAAAATATATATCTTATTGATTTTTTTTACAGAGAAGAAGAGAGAGGGAAAGTTAGAAACATCGATCAGCTGCCTCTTGCACACCTCCAATGGGGATGTGCCTGCAACTCAGGTACATGCCCTTGACTGGAACTGAACTTGGGACCCTTCAGTCTGCAGGCCGACGCTCTATCCACTGAGCCAAACCAGCCATAGCAGATTTTTTTTTTAATCTTTTTAAGGCTGAATAATATTCCATGTTTTGTGTATGCCCCATTTTGCTTAATATATTCATTCACTGATGGATATTTGAGTTGTTTCCACCTTTTTTGACTGTTGTGAGTAACGCTACAGTGAACACAGATGCAGGCATTGCAAACATTTTTCACGTTTGCTTTTGCCCTCTGATGATATGCTTTCTTCCTCAAGTTGTCCCTTTCCAGACAGCGTTAACACTTTGCCCCGAGATTCATCGTTTATCTCCTAAGAATAAGGATCGTCCTAGTGAACAATGTCACCATTATTAAACCCCTGTTAATGTATTGAGTGCAATTTAACTGTACACTTAAAGATAATAAAATGTGACATGTAGTTTACAATTTAAATTTTTTTAAAGTAGTTCAAAAAGTTACACCCCTCCAGCAGAGAAAAGTCAAAGGCCTATCCCAGGACTTCTCAGAGGCACCACTGCCATCTGGGGCCTGATAAGTCTTGGTTATGCCGGGCAGTCCTGTGCATGGCAGGATGTTTAGCAGCGCCCCTGGCCTTGACTTGATAGCAGCACCTCCCCAGTCATGACAATCAAACCCTACCCAGAAACTGCCAATATCCCCTGGGGTAGGGGGCCACAATCTACCTGTTAGAGAACCTCTGGTCTTTATTAACTTTGCTGACTGCTGCTGTTGGAAGCTCTACTTCTTACCCTCAGCTCAGCCCAGACCTCTCCCATTGCCAAAGGAATTGTATTGGTTTCACAACATGCACATGAATAGGTGTTTATAATTTTGGACCTTTTAAGTAATATATTTTTTGTATTGATTTCAGAGAGGAATAGAAACATCCATGATGAGAGAGAATCATTGATCGGCTGCCTCCTGCACGCCCCCTACTGGAGGTCGGGCCTGCAGCCTTTGACCAGAATCCAGCCCAGGACCCTGCCGTCTACAGGCAGAAGCTCTATTCACTGAGCCAAATCAGCTAGGGCATGAAGAGATGTTTTTCAAATAAAGTGACCTTGAAAATGCAGTTTCTCTTCCACTTTGTGCACCACAGGAAAAAAAACACACACAAAGTTCTAAAGAAGTCATTTGAATATAAAGCTCCTTTCTCCATGGTTAGACCGAGTTAATCTATCATTTGTCTTGCCTGGGATTGAGGTGCAATCAAATAAAACAAGTTTGACAATGATTTAACAAAATTCTTTAATAAAATTTATAAAAATGAATATTTAGGTATACGTTTTATCAGCCTGAATTGTTTTTCCATCCCCAAAGAAAATAGAAATTATCAGCACCCGCACACATATCCACTCAAAACTATAGTGACTGTCTATTCAGAACTACATTAGAGTTCAAATTGCTTAAAAAAATCAAGACAATTCCAAGAAGTGGTTGCAGTGATTACTTTTTTCCTTCGAAAAGCAGTTGATGGACAGTAAGCAATTTTCTATGATTGTCAAAAGTTTTTGAAGGTCGCATCTCAACGAAAAGAATATCCAAATCAAGGTTCTCCTTAACCCCCATGAAAAAAACTGGAGTTCCTAATACTCTGTTTTCTCAGACTTGGGGGCACATGTATCCAGATCAGCCAGTACTTCCTGTGGACAGCAACAGAAGCAAGCACTTGGGGATTCTAGGGACCATGGTCTTGAGATCCAGGTAGGAAACACATGGTGAGAGCCTCCCATATTTTCCAGAATTTTCAGGGCTAGAGGTAAAGCCATCTCAACCATTCTCAGCCTCGGTTCGCTGAATTGCCAGGCTCAGCGACAATTTCTCTTGCCATCTCCAAGCAATTTCTCCTGCCTTCTCAAAACACCTCCATGTTTTCCATCAGCTGTGAAAAGCCATCTTCTCTCTTTGGCTGCAACGCGTTCGGCACTGTTCTGAGTCTTGAAATACGTCAGTCTTTTTTACGTTTTTTTGTCATCAACTTTAAAAGTTAAGTGGCACCTGAAAACTCATCACTGACTCTGGTCAAAGCTCCTTGTTTAGGACCAAAGTACCCCCATAAGGACATTCACATAACAAACATTCTGACTCAGAACAAGCAAATGGGTAGATGTCCATTTCAAGTTACACACTTAGGAGATGAAAAAAAGAAAACTGTTGAAGGTCTTAAGAGTATACAATACCCAGTCACAATATGGCCAGGCTAAGACACAGCCTCTTACTTACCCTAAAAGGGCCCAATAGCTTCTGCCTCACAGAAGTCCTGTCTGGGGTAAAGTAAATTGAGGAGTGAGAGTGGAGACTGGACCATGGGACACCCATGCAGTGATAGGATAAAAAAATTAAAAATTAAATTTTATGTATATACAAAACAATAGGGCATTCAACCCCTCCCCTTCCTTTTAAAAAATGAGACAACACCCTTTAAAAAATCTGCAAGCTTGTAAAGAGTGACAAGAGAAAGAAAAGACTCAAGGACTAAGTCAAAATCTTTCAAACACACAGATTAGATCTACAAAGTGGAAATCATACTATCCTAATGGCATCACTGATCAATCTCTCTTCCCCAGGTATTCATCTCACATACGGGGAGCTGAAAGACCTCCAGAAGAATTATTCCTACATTTCCCAGCACACAAGCATAGGGACCTGGAGTGCCCTAATCATCCACGCCACCTCCATACATATCTGCCAGCTTCTTGAAGCGATTGCCCCATTCGTTCAGGTAGTCATAGTCCTGGTCTTGGTCTGACTCCGAGGAGTTCAGGGAGCTCAGACTAGCAGCTTCGGAACCATTTCCTTCGTAGTCAAACACGAGCAGAGAGTCGTAAGGCGGAGCCGTGGGGTCGCTGTCGGCCGCCTTTAAATTCTGAAGAAGGAAGAGAACAGGCTCTCTCAGAGAAAGGAGCCACGCACCTGACATCTTGGGCCAAGATGCCTTCTCTTGGTGCCTCAGGCAAAGTGGACCGCAGGGCAACGCAACCACCGCCCTGCAGAACCCTGGGAGCAATCAACACCAACGCGGTGAATTTCTACCAACTGCCCCCCCCCCCCCAAGATGGACATGATACGTTGTTAATGAAAAGAAAGTTAAGGGGAAATATGCAGAATATCTTTCCCGCTAAAAATGAAAATGGTATTTATAAACCAAATGAGATCTACTCTGTATCTCTTTCATGCCATTTCTAATTCTATTCAATCTTTTCAAGGGATTCTTGGTGTTGTCATACGGGCTTCGTAATTCACTAAGGTCCATTCGAAATTGACATTATTTCTGAAATTCAGGTGAGACACACAACAATAGGGCTCAGGGGTCATGAAAGATGACAATGTGGCAAAGGAAAGCATCTAGACTCTGGACTTTGGACACAAATGCTCCTTTCAAGTTTAGAGATGAGCTGTGCCTTGGCTTTCGACTTTGCTTACTTACTTCATCAATAAAGTTTCCAATTTCATCGGGATTGGCAGGGCGGGGCCGATACTGGGGCATGCTCAGGAGGGTTGGCGCCACATCATTGCGAGTCACTTCCGGCCGGGCATCCAGGCCCCTGTGCAACTGGCTCAGGTCAAAGTCCTTTGGAGAAGAAGGTGAAAGTATTAGCAAAGAGTAAGCCAGAAACAGGCTTCTGTTTGGTTTATAGGTTATGGTACTGGATAATGCCTTCACTGTCCACTATGCATTTACAAGCATGTGCCAGTGTAAGCTGAAATGGTAGTTTTCAACCTAAGAGTCTCCAAATTAGCACTGGAAGGAACTATAGAACAAAAGGACTGCGAGAAGCACTTGTAGGTAGAGATGGAGAAGGTTGGATCTTATTAACTTTTCATTAGATTAACTTTAATCTAATCAGGGCATGATTATTAGATTATTATTCAGCAAATATTCATGCCCTTCCCACCCTATCAGGACTCTGTAATGTGTCTGATGCTTCCCTTTCTAAAAACAGCAGACTTCTAAAACTTCTCTGGAAAACTCCAGGGCAAGGCAAGTTAAGACCACCTCCAAATCAGGACAAATAAAGAAAATCTAGCCCTAACCGGTTTGGCTCAGTGGATAGAGCATCAGCCTTGCGTACTGAAAGGTCCCAGGTTCATTCTGGTCAAGGGCATGTACCTTGGTTGAGGGCACATCCCTCTCTATTCCTCTTTGTAAAAAAATCAATAAAATATTTTTTTTTTTTTAAAAAGAAAAGAAAATCTAAAGATTTAATATCTGCAAAAGGTAAAAAACAGTTTAGTGTAGCTAAAATAATTCAAGGGGGGAAATTTTGAAGTCAGATCAGTTGCCCCATGTCAAAGATAATTTGAATGAAGACTATCAATGAGGAAAGTAGGCTCTGGACTCAGACTACCTGGTTCTAATGCTTCCTAGCTGTGTGACTTTGGGTAAGTTGTTTAGCTGCTCTGTGCCTCTGTTCAGTAACTTGAGTGCAGAACAGTGCACATTTAATAAATGTCAGCAATGTTGTATTGATGACGATGGCCAGTGGCAATGTCTATGTTCTTGATCAAGGCTTTATTTTTTAAAAATATATTTTATTTTATTTATTTACTTATTTAAAATATATTTTAACTTTTCACAGAGAGGAAGGGAGAGGGATAGAGAGTTAGAAACATCAATGAGAGAGACATTGATCAGCTGCCTCCTGCACACACCCCCTCGAGGATGTGCCCACAACCAAGGTACATGCCCTTGACCGGAATCGAACCCGGGACCCTTCAGTCCATAGGCCAACGCTCTTTCCACTGAGCCAAACCGGTTTTGGCATTGGGTCAGGCTTTAAATACACACACACACACACACACACACAAAGTGACACAGAGCTATCTCAAATGTCTGCCTTCTAACCACTGTTTCTTCCAAATAAATGGCCACTGAGATGTTTACCATGGTTTTTAAAACCCACCTGGTCCTCCTCTCCACCTCCTTCTTCGTCGTAGTAATACACGTTGTCCCGGGTGTCATCTTCCGGGGGCAGTAAGGGCTCTTTGACCACCCGTTTCCTCCGGACAAACAGCAGAAGCAGCAGAATCAGGACTGTAAGGGGAAGACAGAGGTCAAGAAGGCCATAAGCAGTAATGGTCAGAGCATCCTGCCTCGCGTACCAGACAGAGGGCTGTTAAGACAACCCATGTGGGGATGCTCACCTCCCTGCAGGTGACATACGCATTACAACATACCGGACAATATGTGAATTCAAGTGAGGTCTTGAATTCACAACTGGATCTGAAACCAATCGGTTGTTTTCCAAAATATGAGGGAAAAGTGCTCCACACGGTGGGAATGCTACCAGTAAAGGCCATGTGTGGTGTGATTCAGGAAGGGGAGGTCAGCGTGGCTGTAGCAGGATGAGTGAGGGGGAAAGAAGCGCTGAGGAGGGCAGAAGGGTAGCCAGGACATGTGGATCACTAGAAGGACTTTGGTCCTGAGCGAACTGATGCCACTGAAATTTTGAGAGCAGGGTTGGGCCTAAATGTGATTTGATGCGTGCATGAAAAAATTATATAGGGTGTCCCAAAAAAATGTATAGACACTTAACAGCTGATAGCTCAGACGTAGAAGATACTGAGTTACAGCAAGATTCAAAGCCACAAGACAGGTATTTTGCAAGAAAGCACATTGTTCCAAAGGTTCGGAGGCGAAAGACCCTAAACTATTTGCAAGAGGAAGATAGTTCACCCACTGCTCCAGGCATACAGAAAATTTGGAAACAAACATGGGTTTGTTCTCATAATTCAGATGGAGACTGTATGGCAGGAAAACTAGCTGCTTATGGGTATAAAATCAATTATAGTGTTTTATAGAATGAAAGATTGCTGCTATCTTTGTTCTTGTTAAAACAAGAAGATCCCCTGGAAGGAATACCAGATTCTGTCCTAGCCGGGCAGCTCAGTTGGGTAGAGCATCACCCTGGTATACCAAGGTTGTGGCTTCGATCTTTGGTCAGAACACATACAAGAAGCAACTATACAAGAATGTTACTACCTGAGGTCTGTACTACCCTGAGAAGCACTATCCTGAGGGACTGAACACATACAAGATTGTAGAAATAAGTGAGACAACAAACCGAGTTTTTTGAAACTATAAAAACATCTGTGTCAACCCTAGGTGGCTCAGGGAGTTATCAGTTTTAAACACTACAGCAGAAACCGCCAGATTTTTCCCAGTATCTTTTTTTTTTCTCCTTCATTATTTCAGTCATTGATACTCACTGTTCACCCCACACTCCACCCTGCCCTCTGCTAAGATTTAATCGGGCACATGGTCACCCAATTAGAGTGGGGATGTCCAGAGGTGGCTGTGTTTGGGCCAAGGGGGTGTGAGTGAAGGGGATATGTGCAATTTCCAGATGTGTCCCTTCCCTTTCCTCGATCATCCCTCCTCTAGGATGGAATGTGCAGGAGGTGAGCTGGCTGGCTCTGACCATGCTGATGAGGACAGCATCCCAAGGCCTTGCTGCCCTGAGTGGGTCTAAGAACCCGCAATATTGGTCCAGCATCACGTGGGAGCTGGTTGGAAATGCTGAATCCGAGGCCCCACCCCAAACCGACTGGATCAAAACTGTGACATTACAAAGAGACACAGATAAACAAACAAAGAGGTGCAGGCAAATTTGTCTGCCCATGAGCTTGAGAAGTACTGCCCTGGTGGATCGAACGAACAATAAAAGAGAAAGGGCTGGGCCCCCAGTTGACTTAACACATTGCGGACCAGTAGACTTACTGCTAGCTTTACCTGGCGGCCAGGTTAAGTTTCTATTGAACGAGTACAAAAAGCGTTTTACGTAATAAATGTTAAAAGCACGCTTTAAAACTAAATACCCATTGCAGTTTGAAGTTATTTATTTCATGTTCTTATAAGAATTCTCGTGACTGGCCACAAGCCTTAAAACAGCAGACACAAGAATTCTCGTGATCCGTCCGCAATGTGTTAGTACAACGAGTGTGGCTTTCCAGTCTTGGACCTCCGAAATGTTCAGCAGGGGATAAACCTCCCCCATGTTAGAAGTCAAAGGACATGCGCCAGATGTACTTACTTAGCAAAGCCAGGATGCCTCCGAGAATCCCCAGGATGGCCGGAAGCTGCAGTCCACCTTCGACAATGGCTGCGTTCCTCTTGCAGCTGCTGACGGCCCCTTCACAGTCACACACGTAAACTTCTAAGGTGGTCACCTGGTCTTTGTTCTGGTTATCCTCGAGCCTGAGGTTTATTTTGTAGTCGCCCAACTCTAAGGTTTTCTTTGGCTTCAAAGTGATAGATTCACGCCCTAGAGGAAGCAACAGAAATAAACGATGGAAATCAGGGGAGAGAGAAATTGGTTTACTGTCGAATAAGATTATTAGGGAACTAAAGATGTCCCAAAGCTGCCTGGATTGGAGTTTACGGAGCAGTATGTTCCAGAGTCAACCAGCTGGGAAAAGGGACGGTTGGTGGAAGCCTCAGATGCAGAGAGGATGAAGGAAACAAGCATCGCATGAAAGGGGTGACATCTGCAAGTTAAGAAGGGAATTTCAGAAGGGGAGGTGGGGGAGAGGACGGGGGCAGCACGAAAGTCAGAGCAAAGTTTCCAAAATGAGATGCTAAGTTCCCACCTGGGTCATTGTACTCAATGGTCCAGTTGACACTGGCCCCGTGTGTCAGTTCTGCTATGTAAGGCGATGTGTTGGGGGGAAGATCTGGATCAACGATGTTGATGACGTGAGGCTGTGGGTCCCTCTGGCAGAATTCCAAAGTTCGAGGTTCCGGCACAGGGGCGTTGTCATTCACGTCGGAAAGGACCAGGAGAAGGGTTCCCGTCCCAGTAGCAGGTGGAGAACCTAAGAAGAAACACACAGGATATACCACAGCTCGGGGACATGGATGACTCCCTACTGCCTCCCATAGACTGAACCCAAAGCTTGTCCTGGCTCTTCAGGGGTCACCTGCCCACAGAGCCTCCTATCCTGCATCTTCACTCCTGGTTGGGCAGGTCTCTGACATGCTTATTCCACATTTTTATAATTATTCAAGTTACTAGAGGCCCAGTGCATGAATTTGTGCATAGGTGGGGGCCGATCGGGCTGGGCCAGCTGGGGGGAGGAGCCACGGGCAGTAGATAGGCCAACCATGCCCTCTGGTCAAACTCCTGGTTGAACTCCCAGTCAATATCCTGGTAGAGGGGTCAATTTGCATATTAGCCTTTTATTATATAGAATTCCTCATACCAAGAGCACCCTTCTTCCTCCTCTTCACCTATCTTTATTCATTCATTAAATTTCCACCCCTCTAAGAAGTCTGCATTGCCCCCACCAGTTCTCCTTTTTTCTAAACTTCTATGGCTTTAAGGTGATTAGCAAAGGGTTGAGCCTTGTAAAATAGCTCCAAGTAGATTTTCAAAATAGATTTGGAAACTCATAAACACTTCTTTAAAAAAAAAAATTTTTTTTTATTAAGTTTTAGAGAGAGAGGAACGGAAAGGTAGAGAGAGAAAAAGAGAGAGAAGCATGGATGTGAGAGAGCAACATCCATCAGCTACCTCCTGCACGCCCCCTACCAGGGATCGAGCTTACAACCTGGGCATGTGCCCCTACCAAAATTGAACCAGCAACCTTTTGGTGCACGGGTCGATGCCTGAGCTATACACCAGCCAGGTCATACACCCTTGTGTTTGCATTTCTTTTACATCCTGATACAGTGGCTAGCATATGGTAGTAAAAAAAAAAAAAGGTAGATACTCAAGGAATCATCATTATCATCATCATCAGTATGAGTATGAGTATATTATAGGAGGTGGAGAATAAAACCCAGAGAACTATATCTCAAACCTGTAAATAGTTATACGTGGGTGGCAAGACTATAGTGATTATTTTTCTTTTGACCATTTTTTTAGTGGAAAAAAACAATAACCACATAACATAAAATTTACCACCTTTTTAAGTGAACAGTCCAACCTTGCTGTGAAACAGCTTTGCAGAACTTTCTCACCTTGCAAAACTGAAACTCTGTGTCCATTAAACAATTCCCCATTTCCCCTCAAGTTCCTACCCTGTTTCCCGAAAATAAGACAGTGTCTTATATTAATTTTTGCTCCCAAAGATGCGCTAGGTCTTATTTTCGGGGGATGTCTTATTTTTCCGTGCGCTAGGTCTTATTTTCAGAGGATGTCTTATTTTCGTGGAAACACAGTAGTAACCTCCACTCTACCTCCTCTTTCTATGAACTTGACTTTAATCTTCATGTTAGTGGAATCATATAGTATTTGTCTTTGTGTGACTGGCTTATTTCAATTAGCATAACGTTGTCACTATCCACCCACGTCGTAATATGTGACGGATTTCCTTCCTCTTTAAGGTTAAATATCCCATTATGTGTATATTCCATTATGTGTGTTATTCTTTCATTCATGGATAGATTTTTTTTTTTATCATGTGAATTTTCTTGTTTTAACAATGAGAATGTATCACATTTTTTTAAAGAAAATTTTTTCTAATGAGCTAGTAGATTTTCTGATGAAATTTCATTCTTCTCGTAGACCTACACCGAGAACTATTGAGTCAAGCACAAAGTAACACTTTGAGGAATCAACTTGAATGAACACATTCTGGCCAAATTAGGAAAACAGCTATGCTCATCCCTTTATAGGCTGACTAGGAGTGCTTCTAGACTACAAAAGCAACATAGACAGTATGGCCTACAAACCCTAAAGGTATTTACTGCCTGGCCTTTGCAGAAAGCTGGTTGGCCTTTGGTTTAGATACCATTCCCTCAACTCATCACAGGCCAGGCCAGGGAATTCCCATGCAGCCAGAGACAACTGGCCAGTGAGGGACTGCAGCCGAAGCAACGGGTTGGCTTTCCCTTCGTGCAAAAGCATTCTGTGCCCTAGCCAGGTTTGCTCAGACTGCGGACCAAAGGGTCCTGGGTTCAATTCCAGTCGAGGGCACCGACGTTGGTTGCAGGCTCCTCCCCAGCCCGGACCCTGGTTGGGGCTCATACAGGAGGCAACCAATTGATGTGTTTCTCTCACATCGGATGTTTGTGCCTTTCCCTCTCTCTTTCAATCTCCCTGAAATTCAATTGAAAAATATCCTCAGGTGAGGATTAACAACAAAAAAGCATTCTGCGAACAGAGCCAGGGCCGTGTTTGCCTTGCCCTCGGCTTTCCAGATTACCAAGCCTGGAATTACTACTTCAGGAGGTTGAGAAGTGAGAAAGGGGAAAAGAATTTAATCACAGAAAGCTAGCGGGTCTCTTTAAAAGTAATTCGTGCCCTAGCCGGTTTGCACCGCCTGCAGGCTGAAGGGTCCCAGGTTCGATTCTGGTCAAGGGCACATGCCTGTGTTGTGGGCTCGATCCCCAGTAGGGGTGTGTGGGAGGTGGCCGATCAATAATTCTCTCTCATCATTAATATTTCTATCTCTCTCTCCCTCTCCCATCCTCTCTAAAATCAATAACAATATATATATATATATATATATTTTTTTTTTTTTTTTAATAAAAGTAATTCTGCTTCTGAGTATTTACTTCGAGGAAGATAGATACAGGGATGTTTACTTGTCACTCATGTAAATAGTGAGGAAGTGAAAACAACTTCCATGGTCTTTTAATGAGAAAATGATTAAATTATGCTGTATCCAGATAACATCATTTGATTGAAAAGAGGTACAGGCACATCTTGTTGTGTGTCTGTGCTTCGCTTTAAAAAATACTTTTATTGATTTCAGAAGGAAGGGAGAGGGAGAGAGAAATGGAAACATCAATGATGAGAGGGAATCAGTGATCAGCCGCCTCCTTCACACCCAACACTGGGGATCAAGCCTGCAACCTGGCCATGTGCCCTGACTGGGAATCGAACTGTAACGTCCTGGTTCATAGGTTGACGTTCAACCACTGAGCCACACTGGCTGGGCAATAAAAAAAATATATATTTTGTAAAAATACACTTAACTAATAATGAGGTGTCATGACACTAATAAAAATAACGACAGTCTTCATGGAGCATGTACTATGTAGCGGGCACTCTTCTGGACACTTTTTACCTACATTAACTCATTAAATTCTGATGGGATGCTAATTTTATTTTGTCAGATAAAGGAACTGAGGGACATAAAGATTAGGTAATAAGTTCAAGGTCACACATGCATTGAGCTTTAGTCCTAGGATTTAAGTCCAGACAGCCTGGCTGGCGTGGAGAAGGAGGACAGAGAAGTGGCGAAAAGGAACTTCTGCTTGACTGAAGTTATATGCATTTTTGACAAGGAGAATGCTTTCTGACGATGAGAATGCTTTTGTTAAAGAAAAAGAATGAACTCATGCTTCCAAAAGAAGGGTGGGGGGTGGGGGCAAGGAAGCGAGCTAGGCGAGGCAGCAAAGCCAGAGAGGAAGGGTGGCCTTACCGTTGTCTACAGCTATAATGAGGGCCGTGTATGTGTTGTTCTTCACGTGCTCCGTGTCCTCTCTGTCCATCTCAGCCCGAGTGGAAATGGCACCGGTGTCCGGATTAACCTCCAGCCAGTTGGCAGCATCCCGCCAAATCCGATACCTGGAAAGGCACAAGCTCTGGCTTAGAGTTGGAACAGTGACTAGCATGTCGCTGACGAATTCTAAAGTTCCTCTTTGTTGGTCAGTTCTAACTTCTCTACAATTTTGACTTCCACCTTTTCTTTAAAATATCATACCCTATACAAAAGTTGCCAAGAAAAGTGTGATAAGCATCCATGTACCCTTCACCTAGATTCACCCGTTGTTAATATTTTGTTATATACTAAAGCTGACACACATTTACATTATGTCTTGTTTTGCTGAACTCACAAGAATACATTGCAGGTATGATGTTCCTTAACACACTGAAATATTTATGAGTGATCATCTCCAAAGAACAAAGACATTCTCTTATATAACCAACAATGTAATTGTCAATTTCAAAAAATATAACCTTTGATAAAATACTATTAATAAAAATATGGTACACATTCAAATTGTCAATTTCCCCCAAATGGTCCTCATACTACACAGGTGATGGGTGGTGTGTCCTCGGTGCATCTCATTAGGAGGTACATGGCGTCTGTTTGTCCTTTTATTGATGTTCCCTTTGATCACTTGGATAAAGGAGGGGCTAACAGGCTTCTTCACAGTAAAGGCAAACGTTTCCTCTTTGCAATTATATTATACTCTGCAGGCAGATAATCTGAGAATATCCTGTTCAACTAACTTTCCTCCCATAGATTTAGCAACTGTGGATAATTCTTGCCTGAATAATGAGTTCTATGATCCTTATGTATTTTTCAAAGCAAACTCTTTCAGAGTTTGGCATCACTCAGCATCCCCGCCATTAGCACTTGGAGATTTGGTGACTTGGGGATGGGCTGCTATAGTGGCATTAAAAAATATATATATATATATTATTGATTTCAGAGAGGAAGGGAGAGAGAAAGAGAAACATCGATGAGAGAGGATCACTGATTGGTTGTCTCCTGCATGCCCTCTACTGAGGACTGAGCCCACAACCCAGGCATGTGCCCTGACCGGGAATCGAACCACGATCTCTTGGTTCATAGGTTGATGTTCAACCACTGAGCCAAGCTGGACGGGCTATAGTGGCATTTAATGGTAGGTGTGAAACAGGCTAAAACTTCTTATGGTCATGCAGAGCAAAAAAACATGCTTTATTCAAAATGTCAAGTGAGTTCTTTCCATCATCTTTCCATGCCTCCATAAGGGTGCACATGAATATTCTGGCTGATTCTCAAAAATCAGCAATGCCAAAAGGAGAGGACCTATGCTTCATAGGCAAATGTGAAATTATTGATGCTCACAGCGCTGGGGAAATTGCTGTGAACCTCATAGGCCGTTCAAACAAGTGCGGCGTAACCAGCCCCCGATTTGATAAGCAACACAAAGATCCTGTTCCCCTCCCGTCAGTTCTGTTTCATTGTGCTGACAACTCCAGCGGGCCCTGCACCATGAAGAAGCAAGACCAAAACACCCAGGAGGGAGAATCTGGGCTTCTCTTTTTAGGGATGTAACACATACATGCAAATAAAATGCCTCAATGCATTACAACAATTACCAAAAAAAGGGGGGGGGGGCCAAAAACCAAGAGAACATTGTTAAGCAACACCTATTAGAAGTACAAAAGCCAATCTATCAGAGGACACAAAGGCGTGAAAAACAGGGAAATAGTGCTCAGTTATTCATTGGGGTCGTGGAAAGACACAGAAAAGCAAGCAAAGAAACCTGGGAGGTAAGAGCCGTGGATACCTATGGGCTCATCCCCACTCCCTTAGACGTGCAAAGCAATGAACTCCACAGAGCCGTCTTGATCCAGGGGTAAGGGCCACTACACAAACTATCAAGGCTTGGTTCCTGACCCAGGGGAGGCTTTGATCTACCTATTTCACTATTGCAAGCTAAGGTTACAACCCTGGAACAACGTTATCTTTTTTACTATCCTTTTGAAGTTCGATTAAAAACGCATCCTTTTTTTTTTTTTTTTTTTTTTTTTTTTGGCATGGCTCAGTGGCTGAGCATCGAACTGTGAACCAGGAGGTCACGGTTCAATTCCCAGTCAGGGCACATGCCTGGGTTGCAGGCTCCATCCCCGATGAGGGGCGAGCAGGATGGTAGCCAATCAATGATTCTCTTTCTTTAAAAAAAAAAAAAAAAAGTAAATTCTTTGTTTAAAGTATTACAAATGACTCTTTTCCCCCCATTGACCTCTCCCAGTCACCCCCACGCCCCAGCACATGCTGTCGAATCCCACCAAGGGGCACATCAAGGCGAGCTGTCACTGCTTTTTTAGTAAATGTTAAAATTAATCAAATTATCAGCCCGGGTTCCTCTATTTTAAAATTCCCATCGTCCTTGAGCTAATGATGCTCACAGCCACTAAGGTCACTGACCGGACCCTCCACACAGCTCATCCGGTGCAAGGCGCACGTGGTTTAATGATATGTACCAGCCCTCTCATTCAGGATAGAAGTAACACTTCTGGAAAAACCTCAGAAGTTGAAGTCACACTTAAACTCTTTCCATCTGCTTTTTTTTTTTTTTTTTTTTAAATATATTTTATTGATTTTTTACAGAGAGGAAAGGAGAGAGATAGAGAGCTAGAAATGTCGATGAGAGAGAAACATCGACCAGCTGCCTCTTGCATACCCCCTACCGGGGATGTGCCCGCAACCAAGGTACATGCCCTTGACCGGAATCAAACCCAGGACCTTTCAGTCCGCAGACCAACGCTCTACCACTGTGCCAAACCGGTTTCGGCCCATCTGCTTCTTTTAAGTTTCTAAGTCACATGCCTGGAGGCTAAAACACAAACACCATCCACAACAATATCGCACTCAATTACCAAAAAAACTGGACTCTCCTCTGGATTTTTAATTTATTTTTTAAAATTTATTTTTCAAATATATTTTTATTGATTTCAGAGAAGAAGAGAGAGGTCAATGATGAGAGAGAATCATTGATTGGCTGCTTCCTGCATGTTCCACACTGGAGATTGAGCCTGCAGCCTAGGCATGTGCCCTTGACCGGGAATTGAACTGTGACCTCCTGGTTCATAGGTTGACACTCAACCACTGAACCATGCTGGCTGGGCTTGCATAACATTTTTATAAATAGTTCAGAGGTCCTTGCCAAAACCAGTTTGGCTCAGTGGTAGAGCATTGGTCTGCGGACTGGAAGGTCCCAGGTTTGATTCCGGTCAAGGGCATGTACATCGGTTGCGGGCACATCCCCAATAGGGGGTGTACAAGAGGCAGCTGGTTGATGGTTCTCATTCATCAACGTTTCTAGCTCTCTATCTCTCTCCCTTCCTCTCTGTAAAAAAAAATCAATAAAATATATATTTTTAAAAATAGTTCAGAGGTCCTGACAGATTCCTCTAACGTAGGTATTAACAAGTAGAAATCTAGCTCTCTGAGAAGAGGAAGTGAGTACAACAGAGGAGAGGCCTCCATTACCCCTGGAAACCACACTTACAAGACACATGTCTGTCATGTTCGGGTTTGTGCTGTAATAGTTTTTCCTGGTCAAACCCAGCTCTTAAAAGTCTAGAACACTGTTGCTGTTGGTTTGTGTGTCTTTTCAGTATCTGTGGCTGTAATTTACACCAAAGAGGTGCTTTCAAGTTTAAAGAGGACAACAAACTACTTATAGGCAATACCACGTATGTACATTAAAACCACATTCCTACTATACTACGTGAACTCGAAGAGAGGAAGCACAGTAATCCTAGAATGGCTAGCTACAAAGGGAAGGGGGAAAGGTGTGGGGAATGGAGGTAAAAAGGAAATTTAAAAAAAATTAAGAGAAGGGTCTTGCACAGACCAATGATGATAACATGTTATAAATTAAGTACTTTATATACATACATCCAGTTGGTTCCAAGTCAATTGAAAAACACACACTTACGTTATTCTCTGGTCCATGAACTTGTCCGGATCCTGGGCAGTGTAAGATGCGATTTCCTGTCCCACTGGGAAGTCTTCGGACACCTCCACTCTCTTTTGGGGAGGCATGAAGATGGGGGCCTCGTTCACATCCATCACATCCACGGTGACAGTGGCTGTGGAAGTAGACAGAGCGACTTCAAAGTCCATCTTATTCTTCACTGACACGTAGAGAATGTACTGCTGCTTGGTCTCAAAATCTAAGCCCTAAAAAAAAAAAAAAAAAAAAAAAAGTTTAAAAAATGTTATATTAGTAGAAAACAACAACAATAACACTTAACTATTGCTTTTGGTTAGCAACGTACCAGTGATCCTCAACTCTGGCTGCATTCGAGTTGGACACACACACACACACACACACACACACACCTGTCCCTCCTCCCCCGAAGGAGAAGAAAGATGAACTCATGAAATCTCAAACAGCAAGCTTCCGTTAACACTAGCACGTTAACTCAAGAGGAGTGAGAACGCTCATATCCTGTCTGACATGCTGTACATGTGATAGCAGATGGACAGAGATCCTGTGTGACTTGGGGAACTTAACCTGAGGAACTAGGCCTGTTTCTACACCTAAGAAAGCAGGGAAACAGGAGGATCCAAGATGGCTGCTCGGGTTGACATCTAGCCGCGGCAGCACACAACAATTTCAATGGAATACAACTAAAATGTAGAGTGGACATTGCCCAGAGCTACAGGTAGTCGACTGACTGAAATTTCTACAACAAGAAGGAAAGAGAAAACCAGAAAGAAAATCAGAGGAGCTGAAAAAAAGCCTAAGGTACGGAGACATGCTGCGCGCGCCTGCCCGCCCGCACGCGCGCACGGAGAGGTCGCAGCCGGAGAGGAGGAGAGGGCGGGGAGCCGCCTTTCCTTCCCTAGCAGGAAGGAAATAAAACCCCCAGCCTGGGCTGAACCCCCGAACCGGCAGCGCTGAGCCCCCCCGAACCGGCAGCGCTGAGCCCCAGTTATGGGCCAGACCCTGGGGACCCAGGCTCCGGCGGGAGGAGACAGGGCCGTGAGGCGGAAAAACGGCGAAAAGCAGGGCCCCGGGAGTCGCGCGCAATGCGCGCAGAGGACTGAATGTTGACTCTGATGCTGGGTTGCCCTAGCCGGAAGAAACAAGGCCTCCGGCTGCGCTGAGCCTCAGTCCGGACTGCTCCGAACCCCAGTTCTGGGCCAATCCCTGGGGACCCAGGCTCAGGCAGAGGGAGACGGGGCTGTGAGGTGGAGTCCGGGGAGAGCGGCGAAAGGCCTGGCCCCCGGGACTCGCGCAAACTGCGCACAGAGGACAGTCTGTTGACTCTGATGCTGGACTTCCCTAGTGGGAAGGAGAAAAAAAAAGCTCTAGGCTGGGGGAACGCGGAGGGGAGCGGACGCCCCTGCCGGACTCCAGCCAACCGGGCACCAGCAAGGAGGCGGGCCACGAGGCCCCTGGGGGCGTGGGTGCCCCTGAGCCTTTGACCACTGAGCTCAGGCAATGGAGCCAAGGCCGGGGGCTGCTTCCTGGGCGGCGCCGTCCCGGCAACAGGCTGAAGCAGCACAGGAGCCTGCGGAGAACAAAGGGGTGCCACAGGCCAACCTGCTGAGCTCCCAGGACAAGGAGGAAGAAACCAAAGAAGTTCTCAATGTGAAGAAATCAAGTGAGAGCGAAAAATAGTAAAATTACTTAAGAAAGAATACAAAGAAGATCTTGAAAAATCAAAGACTAAGTCAGAACTCAACTCACCAGCCAACATTGCAACATAAATGCGTTTTAAAAAGAAAAAAAAAAGGACAGAATGTTGGAACAGCGACGGCCAGGCCTAGAGTGGCCAGGCACAAGGCAGTGGCAGCCAGACCCGGAGCAGCAACGGCCAGGCCCCAGAACAACAGCAGCCAGAACCAGTGCATCAACAGCCAGCACTGGAGTAGCCAGACCTGGGGCAGTGGCAGCCAGGCATGAGGCGGAGGCGGCCAAGCCCAGGGTGGCCAGTCCAGGAACACCCAGACCCGGAGTGGCCGGGCCCGAAGAAGGCGGGCCCAGAGCAGCCGGGGTGGGAGCAGCCAGACCCAGAACAGCAGCAGCCAAGCCCAGAGCATCCAGGTCGGGAGTGGCCAGGCTCGGAGCGGCCGGGCCCGGGGCAGCCGGGCCCAGAGCAACCGGGTCAGGTGCGGCCAGGCCCGGAGCAGCGGCTGCCAGGCTGGGAGCGGCCAGGCCCGGGGGAGCAGGCGGGTCGGGTGCGGCCAGGCCCGAAGCAGCGGCTGCCAGGCTGGGAGCGGCCAAACCCGGGGGAGCAGGCGGGTCGGGTGCGGCCAGGCCCGGAGCAGCGGCTGCCAGGCTGGGAGCGGCCAGGCCCGGGGGAGCAGGCGGGTCGGGTGCGGCCAGGCCCGGAGCAGCGGCTGCCAGGCTGGGAGCGGCCAGGCCCGGGGGAGCAGGCGGGGCTGGTGCGGCCAGGCCCGGAGCAGCGGCTGCCAGGCTGGGAGCGGCCAGGCCCGGGGGAGCAGGCGGGTCGGGTGCGGCCAGGCCCGGAGCAGCGGCTGCCAGGCTGGGAGCGGCCAAACCCGGGGGAGCAGGCGGGTCGGGTGCGGCCAGGCCCGGAGCAGCGGCTGCCAGGCTGGGAGCGGCCAGGCCCGGGGGAGCAGGCGGGGCTGGTGCGGCCAGGCCCGGAGCAGCGGCTGCCAGGCTGGGAGCGGCCAGGCCCGGGGGAGCAGGCGGGTCGGGTGCGGCCAGGCCCGGAGCAGCGGCTGCCAGGCTGGGAGCGGCCAGGCCCGGGGGAGCAGGCGGGGCTGGTGCGGCCAGGCCCGGAGCAGCGGCTGCCAGGCTGGGAGCGGCCAGGCCCGGGGGAGCAGGCGGGTCGGGTGCGGCCAGGCCCGGAGCAGCGGCTGCCAGGCTGGGAGCGGCCAGGCCCGGGGGAGCAGGCGGGTCGGGTGCGGCCAGGCCCGGAGCAGCGGCTGCCAGGCTGGGAGCGGCCAGGCCCGGGGGAGCAGGCGGGTCGGGTGCGGCCAGGCCCGGAGCAGCGGCTGCCAGGCTGGGAGCGGCCAGGCCAGGGGGAGCAGGCGGGGCTGGTGCGGCCAGGCCCGGAGCAGCGGCTGCCAGGCTGGGAGCGGCCAGGCCCGGAGCAGCAGCAGCCAAGTCCGGAGCAACTGGGTCGGGAGCAACAGTGACCAGACCCGGAGCAGCTGGTTGTGGAATGAACCAGAGCAACAGAGGCCAGGCCCTGAGCAGCCAGGCCCAGAACAGCTTGCTCCTTGCCTGCCCCTGCCCCACGGCTGCTTCTCAGACATGGCTGGAAACTTTCGTGGGAACTTGAGGGTCTGCTGAATCAAGTGATGAAGGCTTAGATCTGGATGTGTTGAGTTAGTTTAGGACTGGGGTGTTGATCTGTGAGTGCCTTGGGTGGGGCCTGGATGAGGCTGGTTGACCTAGTGGGAAATGTCTTTTGTGTGAAGTGTATCATTGGGCATGTGGAGGTATTATTGATATGAGAAAATGCTAAGTAACTGATTTACTATCTGAAAAGGGATTTACTATTGGGGAAATTGAGGGAAGAAGAGACTGAACATAAACTGCACCTATGGATGAGGACAATGGGGGATGGGGGGGGGGGACGGAGGGTGGGGTGGGAACCTGGTGGAGGGGGGAAGAAATGAGGAACCTTTGTAATAATATGAACAATAAAGATTGATTTAAAAAAAAAAAAAAAAAAAAAAGAAAGCAGGGAAAGGAACTACCTCACCTTTAATAATTTTAAAAATCACTCATGCCCAGCCAGCATGGCTCAGTGGTTGAGCGTCGACCCATGCACCAAGAGATTGCCTGTTCAATTCCCAGTCAGGGCACATGCCCAGGTTGGGGGCTGGATCCCAGAGAGAGGCACGTGGGAGGCAGCCAGATGTTGATGTTTCTCTCTCATCGATGTTTCTCTCTCTCTCTCCCCCTTTCCCTTCTTCTTTTTCTAAAATCAACTTAAAAAAAAAAAAATCACTCCACTTCTTATTTTCAAGTTCCCAAGACATCTTTCAATCACAATCATATCTGACCCACTTGTAAAATAATTCAGGAAAATAGCAGGGACCAATAGCCCATTTTTGCTCTCATCTGCAAAATGGATATGGACGGCAGGCAAATGCCTCAAGGAAAGAGCCTATTAACACGGATGGTACTTCCTCTTCAATTTTAGGATGCTGGGTAGCAGCTTCCTGACTTCTCACAGGAGCCTGAAGAGTCACTGCAAATCCCAAATGGCCCACAGAAACTGGGAAAGCCAGCCACCTCTATCTACCCCCCGAATATCATGCGAATTTACTGAGAGGACAACAGGGACCAGGGAGTCGGCAGCTAGCTGGGCTGTCCGTTTCGGAATCTTGCCAAGCACCATACAAACCTTCTTCGTTTTTAAGATGCCATCGTTGGTTTCTGGGTCTGTTTCGACAACAAATTGGTCCTTGTCGTTTAATACAGTGTACACGGCCTCCCATGCCGGGGTTCTGGGGAGGTCAGCATCGGTCACTTTGAGCGTAGCGATCACGGCATCAGCCTCATTCTCATAAACATGCCCCTGGTACTGCAGAGCAAAGGAAAAGACGAGTCACCTATGACATCCTGAGACACGATAGTGAAACCAGGTCTCAGGGGGTAAGGGAATGCTCAGAGGAAGTGGCCACCCAACCAGAAGAGCCCTTCTTTCCTGTCGGTGCGTCAGGTAGCTCTTGGGAGTACCGAAAGTAGCTTCCCAAGGCCCTGGCTATCCGGGCCTCTCCGCACACTCTGGCTCAGGTGTTGAGTTAAGAATTCTAAAACTCTAGCCCTGACCAGTTTGGCTCAGTGGATAGAGCGTCGGCCTGCAGACTGAATGGTCCCGGGTTTGATTCCAGTCACAATCCAGTACCTTGGTTGCAGTACCTTGGTTGCGGGCACATCCCCAGTGGGGGGTAGTGAAGGAGGCAGCTGATTGATGTTTCTAACTCTCTATCCCTTTCCCTTCCTCTCTGTTAAAAAAAAAAAAAAAAAATCAATAAAATATATATTTTTTTTAAATTCTAAAACTCTAAACTAGTGGCCCTCAACCTTTCTAATGCCTTGACCCTTTAACACAGTTCCTCATGTTGTGGTGACCCCTATCCATAAAATTATTTTCATTGCTACCTCAGAACTGTAATTTCGCTACTGTTAATGAATTGTAAGGTAAATATCTGTGTTTTCCGATGGTCTTAGGCGACCCTGCTAGCGGTTCTCAACCTGTGGGTCGTGACCCTAACCACTAGCAGAGTCTCCTAAGACCATTGGAAAACACAGATATTTACATTATGACTCATTGGCAGTAGCAAAATTACAGTTGTGAAGTAGCAACGAAAATAATTTTGTGGATGGGGGTCACGGTCACCACAACATGAGGAAGTGTATTAAAGGGTCGCGGCATGAGGAAGATTGAGAACCATGGCTCTAAACTTAGTCTGCAAGGCCCTGCAGGACCCACCTCATTTGGTTCTCTACCCTGTTTTGCAGTTCTTGCTATGCATCGAGCTCCCACTTGGTTCAGGGCATATCCTTCTGCATGGAGCACTTCCATCCTCCCCTGTCCCGCACATTTGCTAACCTCCTTTCGGGTCTTAATACAAATGTGACTCGCGGGCACAATGTCTAGGTGAGGGTGGCAGACACGGCTTATTGCCGACTGAATATCCAGTCTCCCCTTCTTCACTTACGGTGTTGTTGGAGGCAGCAATGTTCCCAAATAAAATACTCTATTTCCGGTCTTCCTTTGCAGACAGCAGTTGTGAACGAGGTGTAAACAAACTTTGTGGAAAGGGTCTTCCCAGAAATAATTGGACTGAACTTAGCAGCAATGGCTTTTGCACGCCTTGCCCTTGCCTCCCTCTGGGGCCACAAGGAAACACTGAGGATAGAAGTCATGCCCCAAAACAATGCAGGCTTGGTCTCTATTGACAGGGTGGACTATCCACCTCTGGGGTTTTTTTGGACACAAGAGAAAACGTCAACCCCATTTGTTTAAATCCCAGGAGTCTAGGCTCTGTTACTGACCATTGAGCTGATTTCTAATTAATTCAATAAGATTTAAGGTTCTTTTGTGGGGTGTAGTCCCTTCTCCTGGACCACATCCTATCCTATATAACAAAAGCCTAATATGCAAATCAACTGAACAGCGGAATGACCAGTGGAATGACTGGTTGCTATGGTGTGCCCTGACCATCAGGGGGCAGGCACTCAAAACAGAAACTGTCCCCAGCCGCAGGCCCCAGGCCAGCCAAGGCAGGTGTCAATGGCCTCCAACCACCCCCCCTCAAAAAAAAAATAATCACCCTGCTAGTTGCCCCACAGATCAACCCTGATCACCAGCCAGGCCTAAAAATCCTACCCATGCATCAATTTCATGCATTGGGCCTCTAGTTTAATATAATTGCACACAATTATCCGTTTAAGTTGTCTAACATCTAGATAGACTATCCACTTCATGAAAACGGCATCTTGGCCTTGTTGGTGATAACATCACCAGTGTCTAACATAGTGCCTGGTATTAACTCAGAAAATGTTTGTTCAGTGAATAACTAGAACCTGGTAAGATTTTTCTACCAAGATACACAATACGAGGACATAGATGCTTTTTGCCACGTCACAAAATTCTGCCAATAGGCACCAGATAAAGACAACAGCCACCCCAATCTGCTTGCTTCTAAGTTTAAAGCTCACTAGTCTGGGGAAAGTTTCCCAGGGCTTCACTCAGGAGCAGTTGTAAAGCGACAAAGGACCTTTCCTTAGAAACCATCAAGGAGCTGCAGAATTACCGTGGTTGGGTCAAATATAGGAGGGTTGTCGTTGATGTCAAGGACCGTGATCACAGCTTTTGCAGTTGTTGTTAAGCCTTCACCTTGAAGGTCAGCAGCTTCAATCACCAGAGAGTAGTTGGGGAACCTCTGCAGAGAGATTGAGCACACCCAAGTTAGGACCGACAGCCACATCAGCTTAGCCCATAGCATAGACACAGGAATTTTATCATCTGCGTACATGCCGGCATGCCAGCCTACCGGCCTGTCTGCTAGGCACACAACCTCTGCACACGTGTAGATGCAAAGCTCAGACCATGACCACATAGGTGGTAACTGGCCTCCGCAGAGTTTTGCGTTGTCCATGGATGTAGCTAATGTGCACTTGCCCACAACACCCTCTGGATCTCTTCCCTGCTGACCTCACGGTCCAGCCCGGTAGTGAGCACACTGATGACTCCTGTGTCCCTGTTGATGGTGAACATTTGCTCATGAGGCTCTTTAGGCTCTTGGCTGATGATTTTGTAAGCGATGGCAGCATTGTAGGTGTTCACTTCGTCGTCCGCGTCTGTGGCTGAGACCTCCATCACGGGGGTTCCTGGAAGCATCGAAGGAGAGGAAGACAGTCAAGCTGCACTCCAGGGTCTGGGTGGTACTGTTCAACTCAATTCTGTCCAGAGCGTTAAAAGTGAGAGCCCGGGGGCACACTGTGTCCCAGAGCTTCTGATGGCTAATTGCCAAATTTCTTACCAAAGTGCTACCAGAGGAAGAAAGCCTTCCCCACATGAACGGTGTTCCAAGCACTCAGTCTTTCCAGCAAATATTTTGGGTGGAGGTGGATGTGAGGAGGAGATGGGGAAAGGGTGAAGGTTAAACTAAAGCACTTTGCCACGTCTCTTATACTGAGTGAATAGCCTGAAAAACAGGAAGAAGTCTCAGGACTTCCTCAACTGCCTTCTCGGCCACAGCTTCACCTGAGAGAATGGGTCCTTTGAGATCATTGCCTTCAAGGTGGGAGAAAATATTTATTATACAAGGGACTGATAGGACAAGTTCTAGGACATCTAAATAACTCTAAGAGTTAATAGGAAAAAGACAAATAGCCCAAGGGAATAAAAGGCCAAACGACTTGAATAGACAAGTCGTCAAGGAAAAACTCAAGCCTGTCTGGTATGGCTCAGTGGCTGAGCATAGACCCAGGAAGCAAGAGGTCGCCGGTTCAATTCCTGTTCCCGACACATGCTGGGGTTGGGGCTCGATCCCCACTGTGGGGTGTGCAGGAGGCAGCTAATTGATGATGTTTCTCTCTCATCAATGTTTTTATCTCTCGATCCCTCTCCCTTTTTTTCCTCTCTAAAAAAAGATCAATAAAACCATTTTAAAAAAGAAGAAACTCAAATGGCCAACAAACATATAAGATGCTTAGTCTGTTAATAATCAGAGAAATGCACTTTTAAATTGTACTGAGAAATCATTACACATTGACTAAAGCTAAAATGTCTAATAATTCCAGGATATACATTGCTGACGGAAGCGCAAATTGGTTTGACCACATCGGAAAACAGTTTATCACCATGTAAAAAAGTAGGCAAAACTAACAAGATTTTATCTAGGGGTAAAAACACACAATGTAGAAGACAAATTAAAAAAAAGGGGGGGGGGGGTAGTGTCTATCTCTAAGGGAAGGAGAAAAAAATGTGATCAGGAAAATTGTATGAGGGGTTCAAACTACTGCTTAGTGAAGGAAGGTTGTGTTTAAATCCCTCTGATTTTAAACACATTTTTGCAGGTAGAGTGCTACATGCATGCACACGAACAGGGCACACATACACACACACAGTGGCTTTCCACTGAAATTTTGTCCACAAGAAGGTCCTGACCCCAAACTCCAACTCCAACACACACTGGGGTCCAAAGGACCTCAGCCTCTTTCTGGGGGTTTGGCTCCTCTTACCTGGGAGAGCACCTTCCCTGACAGACCCCTCAAAGACCGCCTGGGTGAACTCGGGCCTGTTGTCGTTCTGATCTGTCACCGTGATCACAATCTCCATCGGATCCTCAATGGCATCCCCGTTGGAAGACACGGCGTGAGATAAGAGCTGCAAGAGCCAAGGGAGGGTTACTTGGGCCCCAAGGAGAAAAGAAGTGGGAGAAGTGGCCTGTCCAGAGAGTGGGCTCCACCTGGCGTCCCCTCCTTCGGGCTCTCTGAGACCCGAGGGCATGGACACCTGCAACTGAGCCCTTTTCTCAACCGAGTGCTGATGCTCCAATGAGGGCAGCACGCTGGCTGAGAGCACGACATGTGAAGACCTGAGGCCTGGAGAACACACCCACCAGGTCAGAGCTCTCATTCCCTACAAGAGGGCTGGGGAGCCATGCCCGGGAGATAACGGTGGAACCCTAACGCTCTGACTTCTCCCAAGCAGGGCAAAATTAGCCCTGGCCACTCCAGTCTAGTGTGTCCTCCTGATTTCTCTGCATTTGGCCTCAATACATTACTTCCCAGCCTCCGTCAGCTCACTCTGCTACAGGCCCCAGAAATGGTTTTTGCTCTCCGACATCATCACTTTCAGCTCCAGGAAGCTGATATCTTGGGTCCAAAGTGAAGCATGATGCACAAGGACTCTCCCTGCTTTATTCTTAACAACAAACGTCATTTAAAAGCCCCCCTTATCCAGGTGCTCCTGTCATTTCTCTTCATCAATACGTCTCCAAGTGGCAAATGAAGCCCCTCATATGTTCACCGTCTCGAATCCAGGGATCCAGATCAGTTGACCAAACAATGTTGGGAAGATGGGACCCCCATCATTAATAAGCGTCTCAGCGATACTCACTGTGTACTTGGCAATTGCTTCTCTATCCAGAGGCTGCGTCACCTTTAGCCATCCTGTCTCTCTTTCAATAATAAACACACCGACAGGGGGGGCGTCAGCTCCTTGGCCAGTGATGCTGTAGAAAACCTGTGTCTCTTTGTCTTTGTTAGATTTGATCTGGAGACAAAACAGACACAGAATTAGCAAGGGAGGAATTCTTACATTCGGTCTTTCCTCCTTCCTCTCCTTGGTCCTTCTCTGCCAGATTCCTCCCAAAGAAATAGAGAGCATTCTTCTCTACCTGGACCAGATTCTTAGGAAACGGGCCTTTCTCGTTTTCTGGGCAGGAGATGGGAGGGATAACCCAGTCCCTCTTCTGTCTTCTGAGACCGTGGTGGGAGTCGGGAAATGTGAGCACTTCCGTCCGGGCTTCAGGGAGAGCGTCCTGAAAGGAAAAGAGATGAAGAACATTAATGAGATAATTCATGAGAAATCATGCCGGCCGAAGAGGCCAATCTATCCAGTCAGCATTTCCATCCTTGTGGGGGCAGCAAGTGATTTTAAGTGAATAACAAAATTAACAGCCAAAACAAAAGACAACGAACCATCTAGCCATAATAAAGTGTTTTCTTTTGATCTTCCTTAGCGTCCAGAGTTCAAGTAACCATTATACATGCACGATGATAGGTTTAGTGTTATTTTGTAAGTATTTTAAGCCTACAATGTCACACTTGTTATGGTTTTTAAATTTTATTTTTCCATTCCAGCTTATATTCCATATTATTTTGTATTAGTTTGAGGTGTACAGCATAGTGGTAATAGAACAGTATATCCTATGATTTTTGTATCAGAGCTTTTAAACATCTGGATATCCTGGTGTTTTAATTTCTTTTCCTTTATATTTTTTTTTCTAGGGTTATAGGTCCCCAAATAGAGTTATCAGCCAAAATCAGTAAGTTTTGGGAACTGGTACTAAGAACTACTTTGTGATCAATATAAATCCCTTGCTCTTGTGGTGTCATTATATCTTTAAGGTGTCCATTTGTTCTAACGGAAGCTGTGGGATGAAAACCAAAAACGTCCTTTGAGACTTATATTAAGTAGTTTTCATGTGTGATAATGATAACGTTATGCACACACAGGGAAATAAGATAGTTGATGATGGAAGGGAAAACAATCTTCCAAATTGTCTAAGTGTTTCAAAGTGATTAGTGGTAACACAGTCAAAGTTCCAGAGGACGATTCCATCCCCCACCATCTATAAAACCACTGGTCACTGTTTGCCCAGTGAGATTCAAGCCCTAGTTTCTGGTGCCTTTTTTTTTTTAATTTGACTAAAAATGCTCAAGACAAACATGAGATGTGATCAGATATCACCACAAAATCCTTCCCAATTCTGCATATTTCACACACACACACACCATCTTCACCCTCAAATTCACACGCACCAGGTCTCTAGTATAAATATAAGACCTATCCTTTTTTTAAAAATCTATTCTTACATGAATTAAGAAAGAGGTTAAAAAAAAGAGAAAGAGCCCTAACCAGTTTGGCTCAGTGGATAGAGCGTCAGCCTGCAGACTGAAGGGTCCCAGGTTCAATTCTGGTCAAGGGCATGTACCTTGGTTGCACATACCCAGTAGGGAGTGTGCAGGAGGCAGGTGATGGATGTTTCTCTCTCATGTCACCCATTATCCTAGTGAAGAACCACTTGGCTCCATAAGAATCCCTTGAACTAGAGACAAAGCAAAGTGAACTCCAAACCAGTTATGACAGAGTTGCCACCTACCACTCAATAGCCTCCTTTAGTTTCTTACTCAACAACAAGCAAACAAAAAACCTATCTACCTATCTATCTATCTATCTATCTAAATTTAATATCCAGCAATTTACCCAAGTGAAATACTATATTTCCTATACTATGTTTGCTGTTATGGGTGGCCATGAGCCAAGTTATAGCCAATGAGATATAAGCAGAAGTGTTGCTTGAGAATTCCACAAAGGCTTCTTAAGGAGGCAGCCAGACAAGTAAGCGATGCATCTTGGTGCCTCCTCCCTTTCTTCTTGTCACCTGGAATAAAGCTGTGACTGCTGGAGCTCTGGCAGCCCTCTTGGATCATGAGGTGTCCTTGAGGCTGAAGCCATGGACTGTGGATGACAGAACAGAAAGGACCTGGGCTCTGGATGGCTGTGGGTTCTCCACACCGGCCACAACTTACTCTTAACTTCCATTTCCTTCACTTGAAAGAGAAATACTGTATTTTGCATGAGCCACTGTGATTTGTGTTTTTCTATAACATGTATTTGAACCTAGTCACAATCAGCTGACGTGGAGGCAGAGGCAAAGTTGGCAAAGGAGGGGAGGAAACGTTAGAAAAAAAACAAAACAAAAACCCAACAAGTTCAAAACTGTCTTTGGTCATAAGAGGCATAGCTGCCCAGCAAGAACCCACCGTGCTGAACTTACAAGAATGACAGAGTCCACTGAGGACTTGAGTCAGGGACCTATGTTAATATAACTCTGCTAAGTTCCTCATTTTTCTGGTCGGTCCAATTACACCAGGATGATAAATTTCAATCTGTCCGGACTATTAAGTCCTCTGAATTTCAGGAGTCTTTGGAGAGAAAAACAGGAGCCAGCCGGAAAGGGCCTTGGCATGTAGAACCCTGTCCACACCTCCAGGGCAGTAGCAGAAGGCAACTAGAATGCTCCCCATGGAGACGTTTTGGTAGGAAGCACCATGGGAGCACTTTAGGAACTGGCAAAGGCATTTGGCTTTGGCTAACAATCCCCAGAAACACTCTTGCCAAGGACCTGGACAGGCATTCGTCCTTCCGTTCATGGCTGGTCCACTGAATGGTTACTGGCCTCCTGGTATGTGCCAGACGGAGGGCCAGGCCCTGCCATATCATGGGAAAGGATCTTGTGTTGATTACAGCCCAATGAGGCAAAAGCTTCCCACTGACTCTTCCCTGGCTTTGCCAAGACCCTCTCCACTAGGAACACAAAGAGCCAATGATCGGAGTATTGACCTCTTACTCATTCTTCCTCCAGGAAAGGAGTGATAAGGACAGTTCACAATTACTGGGTACTTCTCATATGCCGAGCGTGGTTCTAGCATTTCACGTGTATTAACCTGTGCTGTCATTATCATCTCCATTTTACCGATAAGGACATTCAAGCACTGACAATACCTTCCACGTTTACTCAGGTAGAAAATTCAATCCCAGACAGAGTCCATGCGCTTACCCACACTATTCTACTCAACCAGCTGAAATAAAGATAATGGCATCTTGCCACCATTTCACCTGAATCCCTTTCTACCAAAAAAAAAAAAAAAAAAAAAAAAAATTCAGTTAGACCAGTGGTCGGCAAACTGTGGCACCCAAGCCATATGCGACTCTTTGGCCCCTTGAGTGTGGCTCTTCCACAAAATACCACATGCGGGCGGGCACGTACAGTGCGATTGAAGTGTCCAGAAGTCGCTTTTTGGCTCTCAAAAGAAATTTCAATCGTTGTACTGTTGATATTTGGCTCTGCTGACTAATGAGTTTGCCGACCACTGAGTTAGACCGATGGTTCTCAACTGGGGACTATTTTGTTTCCCAGGGGACCCTGGCAGTGTCTGGAGACATTTTGGTTGTCACCACAAGGGGGTGCAATTAGCAACTAATGGGTGAAGACATGGGATGCTGCATAACAAAAGATTACCCAGCCCCACATCTGCACGGTGCCAAGTAGAGAACCCCATATTAAGAAGCAGGCTAAAATAACAGTGAACGTTTAAGAAACACTGCAACATACATGATGGTGGTGGTGCTGGTGGTGGTGGTGTTGGCGGTGGTCGTGCACTGCTGCCTTCAGTGTCACTTTCGTGGAGAGCTTCTTGCGGGCGGAGTCCCAGGCAGAAACATGAAAACTCATCTCTGGATTATGTAGCTGCAAAGGCCGTTTGACAATCAGCACCCCATCCGTGCCCACTCTGAATCTGGTGTCATCAGAAACATAGATGGTCCTCGGTTGGCCGGTGCATGCTTCAAAACTCACTGCAGGGTATAAATAACAGCGATTAAGGAATTGGGCAGATTAAAAACAAGCACATACCTTCTCTAAAAAGCAAACTGGACTCACCTACCAAAAGCCTAAGTCACACAAATTAAGCACAATTGGCTGCCTCCTGCCCCCTTCCTACCGGGGATCAAACCTGATCACATTTTGAACGCAAAGGGACAATGCAAGTCAAAGGAGATTGTTATTTCTCTGCATAGGGGACATACCTAGGTTTCAGGTAGGATTCCCGGTCAGGGTGCATGCGGGAGGCAACCAATCTATGTTTTCTCTCTCATATCAATGTTTCTCTCTCCCTCTCAAATCAATAAACCTATTGATCAGGTTCCCACCAACTGTGAACAAGTCAGATAAGACACTTGCTCTCACTGAACTTATACTATTGTGGAGGAGATGGACAAATATCAAAACCAAAACCAAAAAAACTACAGATAGTGATGAATGCCTCTGGCTCTAAAGGAATTCAAGAGGGTACTACTACAAGAATGACAGCGGGCGGGGAGGTTTGGGGAAAGCACAACTTATACTGGATGGTGAGGGAAGACCTCTCTGACGTTGGAGGCTTCCAGGAACCAGCCTTGGAGAAAACACGGCTCAAGAGCCTTCAAGGCAGAGGGAACCGTAGATAAAACAGTTCATCCTGGGAAACTCAACTTGACCTGTTTTCCTCCCACTCAGATAACTGCCCCTCCTTCCTCCAGTGGAATTTCTATTTTGTCTAAATGATCTTTTATTAAGGTCCTGCTTTTGTGCCTATTTTATGTAGCTCGACATCTCTTCACTCATGAGGACCAGGTCTCTGCCAGAAAGCCCCATAATCACCATGATGCCTAGAACTGCAGTTTTCACTTCCTCCACCAGGGGCCATCCTTGCCAATGTTTTTGAAGCCAACAGCCCCACCCTTGCCAGAGAAAATAAAACCATGGTTGGAGGTGGCAGGGCAAGTACCACGAGGAACCCTCCTTTTGAAGATGAAGAAACTGAGGCTCCGAGAGGTTAAGAAACTTACCTGACAGCCTATAACCACTTTCCAGTGGAGCTGGGACTAATCCTCAACATGTCTCACGGTTGGCACTCCCTCACCCTGGAGAGAACTGTTTGCTTGGGGCCTTAGCTATTTTTAAAGGATGATTTTTGCCCCGTAGCCTAAAATCCAGGGCTGATAAAAATCTGCAGCCAACTCATGCAGTAGTTGGGAGTCTACTACCTAGCAAATAATGCTGTAATAAATGACAGGAGGGGCGGGGGGGGGTGGGGATTAAGGGGTGTCCGGTGACGTGAAGAAAGGTCTGATTCTTGGCTGGATTATAAACCCAAGTTCTGCCATGTTCTTGCTGAGTGGCCTCAGTAAAATGCTTAACCTCTCTGCGCCTCGGTTTTTCCCACTAGACCATGAAGCATACATACCTCCACTTATCAAGCCTGCCTCTTTAGGGTTTTGTGGAGATTAGCCAGGTGCCAGTGAGTGTGAATCACATTTTGAACGCAAAGGGACAATGCAAGTCAAAGGAGGTTTTTATTTCTTTGCATACGAGCTAGAAGACAAGTATTTGCTAAACAGACAGATGAACCCTAAAATGACAACAGAAGCCAAGAAGCAAAACAGTCTTTTTTTTTTGTCTAACTAGTTTCTTTCAGATATCTTTTTAAAAAAATATATTTTATTGATTTTTTACAGAGAGGAAGGGAGAGAGATAGAGCTAGAAACGTCGATGAGAGAGAAACATCGACCAGCTGCCTCCTGCACACCCCCTTCCGGGGATGTGCCCGCAACCAATGTACATGCCCTTGACCGGAATCGAACCCGGGACCTTTCAGTCCGCAGACCGACGCTCTACTACTGACCCAAACCGGCTTCGGCTCTTTCAGGTATTTTACTGATTTTTAGAGAAAAGGAAAAAAAGAAAGAGAGAAACATGGATGTGAGAGAAAAACATCAATTGGCTGCCTTCTGCACCCCTGATTAAAAACGAGCACATTCCTTCTCCAGGGACCAAACCCGCAGACTGGGAATCGAACCAGCAAGCTTTTGGTGCACGGGGTAACACCCGACCAACTGAGCAACACCATCAAGGGCAAAAAAATGCAAAGTCTTTCAAAGGATGGGCAGATACCTCCCTGTAAGTCTAAAACAGAAATTACTTCTTAAACTAGCAAAACAAGATATTTTTCAAATAACCCTCCCCCAGGTCACTCCAACAGAAATCCTGGGGCACCTGGACTGTTTGGGGGCTTGTGTCATCACCAGGCAACGAGAGCTGCCTTGGTTCATCACAAGGCGTTCCTTTAGCCAGCCAGCTCCGATCTGGTAGCGAAAGTTGGGACAAGCATGACTGGACTTGCCAAGGGTGGCAGCCTGAAAAAATGAAAATGGCTTTGCACATGCCCTGATGCAAGGCGTTTAACCTGCTCTGGGGCGTCTCGTCTTAATGGTGACAAAGCCCCACCCTTCGGGAAGTGACAGGAGAAGTGTGGTCACCAGGCAGCCCCAACCTGAATTTCCAGGTGCTCATTAAGGGTCATTACCTTTCCTGGCAACCTGATCCTCGAGGCTGATACACCCGAAATTATAGGACAGACCCAGGGGATCTCCAGATCTGGGGAGGCTCTGGGAAGCTTCCTTCACACCTGGCCGGGGCTGGCCAGTGAGGAGGAGCCACAGGGAATGCTAAGGCCAGCATGTGGGAGAGGGAATAAGAATGGCAAACTGGCCGAAACCTGTTTGGCTCAGTGGTAGAGCGTCGGTCTGGGAACTGAAGGGTCCCAGGTTCGATGCCAGTCAAGGGCATGTACCTTGGTTGCGGGCACATCCCCAGTAGGGGGTGTGCAAGAGGCAGCCGATCGATGATTCTCTCTCATCGATGTTTCTAACTCTCTATCCCTCTCTCTTCCGCTCTGTAAAAAAAAAAAATCAATAAAATATATTTTTAAGAAAAGAATGGCAAACTGCTGGAACAAGAGGATTAGTACGTGGGAAGTGGATAGAATGAAACATGTTCAAAATAAAGTTAAACGAAAATAAAGCCAGCAAGGAACTAACTATTCTTTTCAGCCAGACATCCCCCGATTGGGGGTCCTGGGTTGGAGAGGGTGCAATCCTTTTTTCCTCCTCCTTTCTTAAACCGGTCAATTGGTCACTTGATCTAAAAAAACAAATCCCAGTGACAAGAGCCAAGAACCCAATGGTCATCCCTTAATGGGAAAATCTTTTCACCACCATAACATTAACACCATCAAAAACTACACCCTCAACCAATCACTTCAACTACCTTTATTTAAGTAATTTTTTAATACATTTTGATTGATTTCAGAGAGGAAGGGAGAGGGAGAGATAGAGACACCAATGATTAGAGAAAATCATTGATTGGCTGCCTCCTGATGCCTCTTAATGGGGATCAAGTCTGCAACCAAGGCCTGTGCCCTGACCAGGAATCGAACCTTCATCCCTGGCTCATAGGATGAGGCTCAACCTCTGAGCCACACCAGCCAGGCAATTTTTAAATATTTTTAACATGTACAGAATATTGTGTCCAGCTCTATTCTCAGCACTTTGCTAATATTTATCCCAGAACTCCAGGAGATTGGCATTACCAATGTTGCCTTTTCAAGATGGGAAAACTGAGGCAGTTTGTTAAGCAGTAGAGCCGGGATTGGAACCCAGACCGCCTGGGAGTTCATGACCCTAACCACTGTTCCTCATGCTCCTCTCTATTAGCCAAATGGACCCCTTGCACTGTGATCCTTATGTCCAATTTTCTGATTAAATTTCCCACCTCCTCAGCCTTTGCATAGACATCACTAGCCCCATTTCCTTTGCCCTAAATTATATGCTGGTGAGGGAAGGGCTGGGCTGTCTTCACCTCTGTTCCCGTATGCAAAATGGGGTTATGCTTTCCAGCAATAATGAAAAGGAATATTTAAGGAAAAGACATTTCAGGTCAGTATGGAATTCTACACACCAGGTGGTTAACTGTAATCTCGGTGGAGGCAGGTAGGGGAAGACAGGAAGAAGTGTGGTAGCAGCAGAGTTAGAAAGTAGTTTTCTTTTTGTTTAACATGTTTTCCTTGTACATCTTTATATTATATTAGAGGCTCAATGCATGAATTTGTGCACCAGCGGGTGCCTTGGCCTGGCCTGTGCCCTCTCACAATCCAGGAACCCTCAGGGGATGTTGGAGAGCCAGCCAAGGGACCCCACCAGTGCACGATCAGGGCTGGGGAGGGACCATTGAAGGGCTACAGGGTGTTTCTGGCCCACCTTGCTCAGTCCTGATCAGCTGGACCCCATCAGCAAGTTAACCTACTGGTCAGAGCATCTGTCTCCTGGTGATCAGTGCATATCATAGCGACTAGTCAAATGGTTGAACACTTAGCATATTAGGCTTTTATTATATAGGACTAGAGAGCCAGTGCACAAAAGTCATGCACAGGGGGCAGGGGAAGGGTCCCTCAGCCTGGCCTGCACCCTCTCCAACCCGGGATTCCCTCAGGGGATGTCCGACTGCCAAACGCTGGCTCCTAACCTGCCTGCCTTGATCGCCCCTAATTGCTCTCCCCTGCCAGCCTGATTGCCCCTAACCGCCTCTGCCCCAGCCCCTCCCACAGTGGCTTTGTCCAGAAGGATGTCTGGAAGACATTTGGTCTAATTAGCATATTACCCTTTTTATTAGTATAGATTGCATGATTGCATGTCACTATTACAATGAATTACTTTTTTAAAACAATAAAAATAAAAGTGACTTTTCTTGATTTTTATTGATTTCAGGGAGGAAGAGAGGTAGAAATATCAATGATGAGAGGGAATCATTGATTGGCTGCCTCCTACACATCCTACACTGGAGATCGAGCCCACAACCCAGGCATGTGCCCTGACTGGGAATCAAGCCATGATCCCTTGGGGTTCATAGATCAACACTCAACCACTGAGCCACACCAGCCGGACAAAATAACTTTTTATTTTTTTAACACATTGTGATT